ATCAGTTTAGTAATTCAGTCAGTCAATCAATTAACATGCTTAATCATAGATTAGCACTAATCAGTAGTGTTATCAGTAAACAGTAGTGAGGGTTGTCACAGTCTCCCCTCCTTATAAAGAATTTGGTCCTCCAAACTAGAATTACCTTCATTCTCGAAGAAAACAGGATTCAGTGGGAACAATTCAGGATATCTCTTCATCATATCATCTTCCCTTTCCCAAGTGGCATACACGCCACCATGGTTTTGCCAATCAACTTTCACTAACGGAATCTCTTTGTTTCTCAATTTCTTGATCCGTCTGTTCACAATCTGAATAGGTCGTTCTTCATAAGTGTAGTCATCACTTAGCACTACACGGGTAGGCTCAATCACATGGAAGGGGTCCCGAAGGTATTCCCTCAACATGGAAATATGGAACACGTTATTCATATGCTCCATTTCAGGAGGAAGCGCTACTTGATACGCCACCGGATTAATTTTCTCAATAATCTTATATGACCCAACATATCTCGGCGCTAGTTTGCCTTTGACTCCAAAACGAGTCTGGCCTTTCATCGGTGTCACTTTTGCAAAAACGTGATCACCTACTTCATATTCTCTGTCTCGTCTTCGGACATCCGCATAACTTTTCTGTCGGCTCTGTGCGGTTTTCAGTCTCTGTTGGATCAATTTTACTTTTTAGTTTCATACACAATCTCGGGCCCAAGCAAAGGCTCATCTCCAACTTCTGCCCAGCAAATCGGAGATCGACATTTCCTGCCATACAAAGCCTCGAAAGGCGCCATTCTAATACTTGAATGAAAGCTGTTATTGTAGGCAAATTCAGCCAACGATAGATGACTTTCCCAATTTCCTTGGAAATCAAGAACACACATTCTTAGTAAACCCTCCAGAGTCTGGATGATTCTCTCTGACTGACCATCTGTCTGAGGATGGTATGTACTACTCAATCTCAATTCAGTACCCAATGCAGTCTGTAAACTTTGCCAAAATTTCGACGTAAACTTCGAGTCCCTATCAGAAACAATGGACACAAGCACTCCATGCAATCTAACAATTTCATCAATATAGAGTATAGCCAATTTGTCCGCATTATAAATTGTTTTGACAGGTAAGAAATGAGTAGATTTAGTCAATCTATCAACAATAACCCAAATTGAATCCATACCTTTACTAGAGCGAGGTAACCCAAAAATAAAATCCATAGTGATATGTTCCCATTTCCACTCCGGTATCAGTAAGGGTTGCAGTAAACCTGCGGGTCGTTGATGTTCGGCTTTAACTTGTTGGCAATGAAGACATTTTGACACAAAATCAGTAATTTCTTTCTTCATTCCCGGCCATCAGAAATTCAATTTCAAGTCTTGATACATTTTCGTATTTCCTGGATGGATAGATAATTTTGAATTGTGGCCCTCTTGCAGAATTCTTCTTTTCAGTTCAAAATTACTTGGTACACACAATCTTTCCTGAAATTTCTACACATTATTCTCAACTTTGAAATCCGGCTTCGGTTTGGATTCCCGTTCTTCGATGATCTTTCTCAAGAAGTCATCCTGTTGTTGTTTCTCTTTGATCTCCTCAATCAGAGCCGGTTGAGCAGAAATAGCAGCTATTGTTCCACCTTGTTCGCGTAAAACAATCTCAATTTCAAGTCTTTCAAGGTCACAAAGCAATTCTTTCTGCCCGGTGAGTAAACAGGCCAAATTTCCAATCAATTTCCGACTCAATGCATTGGCAACGGTATTAGCTTTCCCGGGATGGTACAAAATTTGCAAATCATAATCTTTAATCAGTTCTAACCATCTCCGCTGCCTCATGTTCAGTTCTTTCTGTGTGAAAAAATACTTTAAACTTTTGTGGTCGGTGTATACTTTACATGTCGCCCCATAAAGGTAGTGACGCCAAATTTTTAGTGCAAACACCACTGCGGCAAGTTCTAAGTCATGGGTCGGGTAGTTCTTCTCATGTGGTCTCAGTTGTCGGGAAGCTTACGCAATCACTTTCCCATTCTGCATTAAAACACATCCCAAACCCTTGTGAGAAGCATCACTATATACAGTATAACCATCTGTATCTGAGGGTAAGGTGAGAATCAGTACAGTCACTAGTCGAGTTTTCAACTCTTGGAAAGCTGATTCCCTCTGATCGGTCTAGTCAAATGATATCCCCTTCTGAGTCAGCTGTGTTAATAGTAGAGCAATTTTGGAGAAATCTTTGACAAACCTTCTGTAATACCTGGCCAAGCTTAGGAAACTTCGGACTTCGGTAACATTTGTCGGTCTAGGCCAGTTCACTACTGATTCAATTTTCTGTGGATCAATTGAAATTTCATCTTTACTGATTACATGCCCCCAAAACATAACATTATCAAACCAAAATTCACATTTAGTCAGTTTAGCATACAGTTTCTGTTCTCTTAGGGTCTCTAGGGCAATTCTCAAATGATGTTCATGTTCCTCCATGCTTTTGGAATAAATTAAAATGTCATCTATAAATACAACAATAAAGTCATCGAGGAATGGTTTTAAAATTCTGTTCATAAGGTCCATAAATGCAGCGGGTGCATTGGTAACTCCGAAAGGTATAACTAGAAATTCGTAGTGTCCATACCTCGTTCGAAATGCAGTCTTTTCTATGTCCCCTGTCTTGACTTTCAACTGGTGGTATCTAGATCTAAGGTCAATTTTGGAGAACACTTGGGCACCCTGTAACTGGTCAAATAAATCATCAATACGAGGCAATGGATATTTATTTTTCACTGTTACCTTGTTCAATTCACGGTAGTCAATGCAGAGTCTCAGTGAGTCGTCTTTCTTTTTCCCAAATAAGACTGGGGCGCTCCACGGTGAAGTACTGGGCCTGACGAACTTCTTATCTAATAACTCTTGCAACTGAACTTTCAACTCTTTCAATTCGGTCAGTGCCATTCTGTAAGCAGCTTTAGATACTGGCTGTGTACCCGGAATCACATCAATGGTGAACTCAATCTCCCTGTCAATCAAATCTCCTGGCAGATCATCTGAAAAAACATCTGGAAATTCTCTGACTATAGGAATATTGTTCACATCAGTTTTATCATCAGTAGGTACAGTCAATACAGAACATAGATACCCTTTACACCCCTTTCTAATCAGTTTGAGAGCTTTCATGGATGAAACCAGATATGGGAGAGGTACTACTCCTACTCTGTTAAACACAAATTCAGGCAGTCCGAGTGGACGGAAAATAACTTGTTTTGTTACACAGTCTATGGTAGCATGGTATTTTGTTAACCAGTCCATTCCCAATATCACATCAAAGTGATCAATATTCAGAGGCAATAAAATCAATATACTAATGTGCGTCTCCAACAATAATTTCACATGCAGGGTACATATAAGCACAAGTCATGGACCCCCCAACAGGTGAAGATACAGCTAACAGATAGTTCATAGGTTCTAATGGTCTATTCAATTTTCGCAAAAAGACATGCGATACATATGAATGTGTAGACCCCAAATCAAACAAAACATATACATTTTGAGCACAAATTAAGAGTATACCTGACACAACAGTCTCGGTATTCTGTACATCTCCCGGTACGAGTGCGAACACTCGGCCTTGCCTCATAGGCTCTTTTCCAGTCGCTTTAGGGTTGGGTTTTGTGGAATAGTTGATGCTGCTGCACTTGGTGCAGCTTTGCTATTGCCTTGAGGTGCAGAAGGGCAATCTTTGACCATGTGGCCCATCTTGCCACACCTATAACAAGCACCAGATATTTTATAATAAACCCCCTTATGGTTCTTACCACATTCAGAGCAGGGCGGTATAGAACAGTTCCCTTGACTAGAACTAGTTGTTGAACCTGTATTCTGCTTTTTGTTCAATGGATTGTTTCGGCCTTTCTTGAACTTAAAGTCCCGTCTTTTACCACGTCACTCGGTCGATGGTGTCTCAGTCTGTTTCAATGCCTCGATGTTTGACTTAGTCATGATTGCTCGGTCAAAAACATCCACATACTTAAGCAGTTTCAAAACATTAATTATGTCCAGTATTTCCACATTAAGGTCGCCTTCAAACTTCCTAGCCTTCTTGTAGTCAGTGTCAACCATGTGCGGTGTATATCTGGCGAGTTCAGTAAACTTTGACTCATACTCAGCCACGGACATGGTACCTTGTTTCAGTTGTTCAAATTCAGTCACCTTTCTGTCCCTGATACACTGTGGGAAGTATTCCTCAAAGAAGGCTCCCTTAAACTGAGCCCAAGTCATAATGGTGTCGGTGTCACGGACTAGCATCCACCACCTTCTGGCCTCTTCTTGTAAGATGAAGGTAGCCAATAGGACTTTGTGTGCTTCAGAATATGGAAACACTTCAAATAACTTTTCTGTTTCAAGTACCCACGCTTCGGCCTTTAAGGGTTCAAGGCCTTCCTAAAAGGATGGCGGTTTCATCTTGCTGAACTTCTGTGTTAGAACAATGATGTCAGCATTCACATTCTGTTCTGGCTGCACCGGAGGAGGTGGGGGCTGTTAGTTCTGTTGTTGTAGCCTTAACGCCTCAGTCAACATTTCCACTGTTCTCTCTAGATTTGTCATTCTGACCTTAGATGATTCAGATTCATCAGTAATTCTTGCATTATCCATTTCACTATAGACAATCATGGCAATTATAAACATAGGCAGTTGCATTCTTAAACACATTAGCACATTGGCACAGATATTCATGTCATGGCCATACACACTTTTCAATGCTCATGCAATGCCCTATTCACTTTTCTATGACATCCTATAACTCATTTGGACACGTATGTACAGTATAACTCGTGGTTTAGTATCGCTCTGATACCACTCTGTCACGACCCACACCCGCCCCTATGGGTTTAGCACCGTAACCGGCCATTAATCCGAGATTACCGAAGGCCTGCTTAACAGTAATACAGTAATACAGAGTACAAAGGCTGGCGGAAGCCAAAACAGTAATTAAAAGATGTCTAATGAGCTGTGACAGTCTGTATGCAAAAAGACTTTTCAAGACATACATACAATCAGTACCAAAACAGTATGTACAATATATACAATCATTCAGCACAGGGACTTAATCCTTATTAGAACAGTACATTACAACATTTAGTCTATACAGAACATAAACAAAGAGGGGAAAAACTAAAACACCCCAAGCAGCCTCAGCTTGAACAGTTCTGGAACCTCAAAGTGAGGCACAAAGGTTGGCTTGACAAACAGGAGTTAAGCTTGACGCTCCTAGCAACAGTCTGGTGCCTGTACACCTATATATATATATATGAGTAGTGAGCTAAAGCCCAGTAAATAACATATGCGTAAAGAGGTTAAGAATGAATGTCCTTTCAGTATTGAAAACAGTCATTTATCAGTATAAGAGTCATTCAGTTTGTGGCTCATAATTCATGCCATAACAGTCATTTAGAAACTATAATAGTCATATGTGGTACATCCAATAGCAAAACAGTACAGTAGCTCTTAACAGACCGAGCAATCAATGATGGCCATTAGTAATGGTTCCAAACATGGGAACCGACAGAGATCTCTATAACAGTAGCAGTAACAGTTCAGTAACAGTAAATTGCTATGGATGCCACGAATACAGTTCACAAATAGGACAAATATTCATTCAGTAAACAGTGTCATTTCATAAAGCAGTACAGTCATTGTTCAAAAAATAATCTCAATTGAACATATCTTTACAACATTGTTACTCACAGAGTTCTAGGCTACAGATAAGCTAGAGCGTCTCCGGATGCCAACCCTACACAGTTACAGAGTGAACACACACTAAGCTACACAGTTGGGAAAATAATAACTTAATCCCTAATTTACCTCGGTGTGGTTCTACATCAATATCCTCATTAAGATGCCTTAAACTAGGCATAAGAATGCCTAGAATGAAATGAGGATGCAAAGATGCACTTTAAAAATACTTTCAGAATTTTCAGAAAACAGAGGTCCCGCTCGAGCGTGGGTTCCCCCGCTCGAGCGGACGTCCAAACAAAAGTCTCCGCTCGAGCATAAACTTTCCCACTCGAGCGGTCTGCAAAAGTACTAGATGTGTGAAAATCATGCTCGATGGGCGCTCAACACCCGCTCGAGCATGTGACACAAGTCCTCGCTCGAGCGTGTAAAACCCCGCTCGAGCGTACTATAAACACAACAAAAGTGCTGGATACACGAATTTCCCGCTCGAGCGCCACTTACGTCGCTATTTGAACCTCAAGCTCAAAACTCAATTCTAATGCATCAGATTCGATCCTTTTGGGCCAATTTTCTAGAAAACACTTTAAAACTCATAAAAACATGATTCAAAGCTCAATTTGTAAAATCAAGGCCAAAAGGTGAGTCAATTAAACCCAATTTCAAAGAAGTTTTCATGAATAAGACTCAAATGTAACATGCATGATTTTGATCAACTTCAAAGCTTCTAATTCAAGAACAAGTGAGCCAATCGTTTCAAAAACATGAGGAATTCATGGACTATAACAATAATATGGACATGCATGCAAGAATTTCCATGAAAACAACTTTAAACTTCAAGAGATGCACATGCATGCATGAATTAAGCCTTTATTCAACAATCTACAACCAATTTATGATCTTAAGCTCCTATTTACCATGAACCATGCAACAATTAACTTGAATTCACAAACAAGAAGGTAAATGTCCTACCTTAGGTCTTGAATGCAAGATGTAGGAGCTCAATTATGCAAATTATCCTTCAATTCCTATAATTTTCAAGCAAAACCTCCAAGTTGAACTCAATTTCTCTCACTCTCTCACTCTCTCACTCTAGTCGGTTTTAGCTCTCAAAGTGGCTGAGGAAAAGGGTGCTCAAACAATGTAAGGGTGAGAAGAGGAGTGGTCTAGCATAACCCACTAAGTGGCAATTTGGTGAATAATCAACCTAATGCAATTTAGCTTTATTTAATCTAATTCAGTCATTCCAAATCAAATTTCAATTAAATTTATCATAAAATCACATAATTCCTAATTAGCATAAAACATTAATCAATTTCAGATTCGGCCGTCGATAAAGCCTTCAATTTGCAGTTTAAAGCATAAAAATGAACAGATAATTTAACAATCAACACATAGAATTGCATTCAAACTAATACGTTCAATCAATCAGTTCAGGATTTCAGTCAATCAGTCAGTTAACATGCTTAATCAT